GATCTAATACCTAAGAGTGGCTTAATTTTTCAGGACACCCTTTGAGGGGTTTGTGTTTAAAGGCTTGTTGCTATGACAACAACTAGCTCACAAACAAATCAAGGCTTTCGTTAAATCAGTAATTGAATAAAATGTATAGTTTATTACCCAGATGGAGCAGAGCTCTCTGATGTTTATTACCTTGCTCTGACATATTATACTGACAGTGCTGAAAGCTTGTGGAGTAATAATGTAATCACTTCTATATTCTGTCAGTAATTGTTACAAAATAATCAGACAATAAATGTTAAAAAGGGATCTCTGTCGATGTCCGCTTTTTTTAATCCTCACATCATGGAGTATTAATGCAATGTTACTACAGACGGTGGTTGATTGCATGTCGAGCATTAGCAGGTATAGAATTAAGACCAGCAAATAAATAAAAAAATAAAAAGTGATGTCCAGAATTATTTACAATTAACTCTGCCACTTTGTCATGAGCTAAATACACAGGTAGACTATCTGTCCCTCTCCTGCTCTCCAAACTGTGTGCTGCGTTCCAGAGACACCTCAGAGTCATAACGTCCAATCTGCTGCTGGAGAAAGTGCAACGTGATTGATTGAGCATAAAGCAAATGTTTTTAAGACATTGACGTTTGTTTAAGCTCCTTCGTGACAAATCACAGTTGATGAACATTTTCCAAAGCACTCTACACTGTTGTGTTTACTACAGTGTGAAAATGATACTGTCTGACACCTGCAGCTTGCATTCTTGAAAATGACCCACAGGTAGGTAATGTACATGCTTAATTAAACCATTAATCCATGTTTGTTTGACGTGGTGACATCACTGTACACCATAAACCACAGAAGAGCGTGACTAATGTTTTTATTCGTTTTAGCTCATTTATCACAAATCAGTGTTAAACCATGCTGCTGCGCTGCAGAACATTTTCCTTGGCATGCTGCACTCTTTCATCATACACTTTGATATTAATATTTCATAACCTATTAGTGATTAAATAAGCTTTATCTACAGAGAAGTACATGGCATCATTTGATCAGCATTATATCATGCTTTTGAAAATGCTCAGCTCAAATTGAAGACGCATTGTGTGTGGTGTGTAGCAAAAGCAAAAACACTGGGACAGTCCTTTAGATCCTATTATCATCACAGCATGTGTCCTTTGTGTTAAAAGTTTTAGATAAGAGGAATTTAAGATTGTATATATCATTCATTCATGTTAATTGGCACAATACTGCGCATGCTTTTATTTGTTAAAAACATATGTTGATTTGTGTAAATTGGACTTTTATCTGCCAGATATGTGTTGCTCTGTGTTTCTCAAAGCAGCAGGACAGATTCTGACTCATGACTAGAACGCAGCATCAGACCTGCCTGTACCTCAGTGATGTAACTCAAAAAAGGAGTGCAGTTTTATAATACGGCAATGCTGTGGTGAGAAAACACTCCAAATCCCACAATCAGCCTACAAAGCTCATTAGTGGGTATGAGACCCTCCAGTGTTTGGGGGCACTGTGGTCCCCCCAGCCCCTCTCTGTCCATTGCCTCTCCTTCCATGGCCCAGGATACAGTGAGCGCTGCCACACCCTTCTTCATCATCATCTCCCTCGCTTTCAGAAGAGGACTCTCCAAACTGTCGGGGCTTCTCGTAGATACAGCAGCCTGGAACACAGCATAAATGATGAGAATGGATCCTGGTGATCTGCAGCTACTGTTAATGCCTTCACTCCCTTTTTCTAACACTTCTGAGGATGTTATAAAAATAGCCTTTCAGCTGCTGTTTGAGTCGTGCAGCAGGAGGATGAAGAGGAGGAATAAATTATTACCAGCTATGATAACCTTGCTAGTAGTAAGTCTCTATGTATATGTGTTATCATAGCAAAATGTGGTCATAGATATTGGAGACAGTAATTTGGCAGACCGACGGATGGCTGTCTGTCTTTGGGTAGATTTTGTCACAACACAACTGTGCAAGTTGTAGCAACAAAACTATTGAGTACTCATGTAATAATGCATTAATTGATGTCTGTACGCTTCACGGTACATCTTGAGTTGTGTCACAGGTTTAACCGTGTCTCATAAACTCTTGAGTGAATCAAACAAACACAGCTGGGTGGCTGTGGCTGAGGGGTAGAGTCAAAGTGTCCTTGGGCAAGATGCTGAACCCTGAATGGCCCCTGATAGAACAAAACAAAGTGCTGCAGCATCCATTGCGAGGCCCTGACGGTGAAGAAGATGCCAGAAGAATTGAAATCTTTGCTGGACTCGACTGAGAAGGCTGTTAACTTTATCAAGACCCGACCAATGCCTCTCGTCTGTTTCACTTTCTCTGCGAGGAGATGGTCAGCGAGCATGTCCAACTCTTGCGGTGGGTAGCAAGAGGGAAAGTGCTTTGGAGGTCGTTTGAATTGCGGAGGACAAAAACTTCCCCTTGTCTGATGTGTTTGAAGATACTGTGTGGCTCAGTCAACTGGCATACTTGTCAGACATACTCTCTCGTTGAACAAACTGAATTTAGGACTACAAGGACTCTCCATCCATCAACATGTAGGACAAAAATCAATGCAGTGATGAAAAAGATGGAGTTGTTCAACATCAAAGTCAAGGCAGGTGATATTTCAGCTTTCCCCACTTTGGAGAGTTTTTTCGGTCTGAAAACGACCTGATTTTTAATAATGGGGTCAAAGACAACATTGCTGTGCACATCCTCTCACTCAGGCAACAGCTCCATGACTATATCCCAGTGATGGCAGAAGTGAAAGAAAGAAACCCGTTCAGCATCTAAACAACTGAAATGCCCAAGGATTTCACTGTTGGTGAGCTGGAGAGTTTAATATAAACACTAAAGTCTGCTTTCAAAAGACAGTCGTTGATGGACCTTTGGATTCAGCAACACAGTGAATACCCTGCACTGTCTGACAAAGCCCCAAATCAATAAACAGGACCCATTAAACATCAATCAATAACAATTTAAAAAACGGTCAAAGTAGCTCTAGCTTAAATTCAACTATCCAGACTAAAGAAATGTATCCATTGTATGAATAGTGAAGTGTGTGCTCATGAAAAGGAGTAACTCACACTTTGAAGACCTTCTTCCAAGGTGCTCATTGTCAACAGTGTCACTGGACCACTCCACCTTCTTCTCAGTCTTCCTCTTCCTCAGCTTGATTGTCAGGCTTCTTCCCTCCTGCAACATGTAAGAGGTCTGCTGTAAAATACTGGGTATCACATGTAAACTGGGCCCACTGGTTGAGTGTTTAATCGCTCAGCAAGATGTATATGCTCCCAATGCCCACACTACTGGAAATAATACACGTCAAATACCTACAAATCCTCTTTCAAGGCTTTGGTTTTTATGGGTGCTGGGAAAAGGTAAATGCAAAGGGTGATTAAAGGGAATACATTTAGTTTCAAGTGTGGAATTAGATTGTAAATGCTAAATGATTTGGAAGAAATCTTTTTTAAGTGATCAACTTAGACCAGTCAGGTTCTTCTGCACCAGATTGGGAAAATAATTTGTTTAGGGAGCTGCAGTTTGTGCATGGGGGGAATTGGTGTGTTGAAACAGGAACAGACAAAGTACAACTGTTACCCACAGATTTAAAAAACTACACAATTCAAAATATAGTTAAGCATTTTTTTTTCAGACTCATGTCCATATCAGTAGTAAAATAAAGTAAATAAAAAAATTCAAAATGCAGCACAAAAATATAGCATACAATCACCACACTTAATACATTCACAGGGATTAAAACACATACTGACTTTTGTTCCAGTGCTTCCAAAAACAAGATAAAAATAAGGCTAAGTAGAACTTTAAGGCCCTTATGATCACATATTTAGTGTCAGTTAATCTAAACATACAACTATGTATAAAATTCCTTAGCAGAGCATGAAAGGTGGGGACACTGCTGGCCACAAACATGCGGTTTGCACTTGTTTATCTTGGAAGCTTGAGCAAAAATCTGAAAGGATCATAACCTGCCACCTGAAGATTTTTCAGTTTTGCATGACTATAGCTGCACCACACGTGTGCTGTGGAGTACAGTCACCTCTAAAAAGTGCTATTGTCGTGATCTGTACACGTAGGACATTTGCATACATTGTCATCGTCTCATGAATCATTCCTAATGATGTGACCTAGATTTTACTTTGTTCACAACGTTGAAGAATTGGTCTGCCATAAAGAATGAGGGGAAATGTTTTGCTCCTGCTTGGTTCTAACAACGATGACAACACTCTTTTAGAGTTCAATATAACGTCATGGTGCAAACCATAACTTGAACACAGTCTAAGCAGTAGCTGTAAACCGGCACTGTGAGGAAGAAAGAACTCAATCATCAGCCTGCATCAGTTGGTTAATAAGACTCCACCATACAGCCAGAGACCATCCATATAAAGACTGAATACAACCGGTGACAATACACCAGCTTGTCAACCCCATCGGTTGCTTGGAAGTGTGAAGATATAACTTTAATAGTTTGATGCGAGTAACAAAAGTGCAGACTCCTTCTCGAATATGGATGGATCCCTCGTTCCTACAATTTTTGCGTCCTGTAGTCACTGCCCTTTTCAGTCCCCCATCCACTAAGTACATAGTTTATCTCGGAGTATAATGTTATTACTACGGTTTGCTCTTCACTTTATTACCCAGTACCATCAGAGGGACCTGAACGCATGAGTGTCCCGGTCCAGAACAACAGCTGAGGAACCGCAATCCGCAGTTGCCACTTGACACAGATTGATAAAGGGAGTCATGACAATACTTGGACACATCCAGTGGAGAGCTGTCATTTCAAATCAGCTTCATGTAACTACCACGTTAGGCCCCGTCCACCTCCACACACGGTGAGGTGATAGTACATCAACATGATAACATGGACCCAGTCTGCAGGCAGCGCGGCCTCCTCGCTGCGGGACCACTCTTTGGTACCGGACAACACCACCGGTTAGTAGAGCATCCAAAGAACGGGCTCCGTATTACTCACCTGCTGGGGCGGAGGCGGTGTGCTAGTTTCAACAGTCTCCGTTATCGTCTCACTTGATGTCCCGGGAACCTCCGCCATCCCTGGAGCGGCAGTGCTAACGCTGTCGTTAGCTAGCTTTCAGGTATGGAAGCAGCGGAGCGCCTGTAATACGGTGTTATTATGGCTACAGCCGCTCAGCTCGGTTCTTTGCACCAGACAGTTTTAGGTAGAAGGCTGCTGACCTGACGACTCGGATGTGCCGAACACCTTCGTGAGATGAGGCCAACACAAAGTCAAGCTGCCAAGTGAGCGGTGTGGCTACACCCAAACAGGAAACCTATTGATCCCACGTCCCAAAAAACGACCAACCGTCTCACAAACGAATGATTAAGTCACGTCAAAACACCATGATACACCATACTACAATATGTGTGAGGAAAACGTAGCCCGCAAATTTACATTGCATTTTAGGTCGACATCATTTTAAAGCATAATTTGAAGGTATTTTATTTTTATATCTCGGCACGTTTGTAATTAGGTTTAGCTTGACAGCGGTAGTGTTGAGGGGAAGATATTCCCAGACGGACAGAAGTTATATCCGGTGGTCCGAATGTTAAATCCATCCGCCTGGAAATGTCATGCCTATGTCGAGACCGGAAGAAAACATATATCATTATAGCAGAGTAACATACATTTGAGCTGTTATTTTAATACGTTTAAAATCTACACAAAACCAACCACACTGTAGACATGTTTCGCGGGTTTACAACGACAAAATTAAAAGGTCGTGAGTGACATCTGAGCACTCGGTGTATTAACAACACAGTAAGTAAACGTAGCTGTACTTGAAATTATGAACTGTCACTGCAGGTATTGCACGTGTTGCTCGGAGACTTTTTCATGACATTGAGATTGTTCTGTGTCCCTGTTGTTCTTCGAGATGTGGAGGGCGGGTCGTGTCCTCGGCGTGAGGCTGGTAAGCAGAGGAGCAGCCAGACTCTGTTCGAGTAATCCACCAGACACTTCATCCTCCTCTTCACCTCAGACTAAATCTCCTCCACGGTTCCAAGCTGAGAAACAGAGGCGTAGACGAGAGCGGGAACAGGCCATACTGTCAAGTCAACACAGTGTAAGTAGGAAAGTTAACCCTGCAGACACTTCCATCCAAAATCCATGGAATCTAAAATCCTGAAACACCTCTGCTTCCAAATTTAACCCTGAAATTATAACAGAAGATAATTCAGTAATTGCCTATTAAAGTTCAGGTGAAAAACTGGAGCTTATGTTGGGTTCAGACACCAGAACAGGGTACTCCAACAGTTAGTAGGGTTTTATTGAGTTCCTTCATATGTCTCTTATTAATCAGAAATGAAGGAAGCGTCACATGCGTGTTAAGGATGTAGCACAATCAAGGTCTGAAGAGACCTAGGAAGATTTATGATGATTGGAGAAATGGGTAATTGACAAGATTTGCTAAGCTCTGACCTTTGTGAGGTTATTTGGATTGATGTTGGCCATGTTTTTCCACCGATCCAGCCAGTTAATTATAGAAGTTTGTATCTCAGTCTTCCAAGGATGCAAAATCCAAAATATTCTATTCAGCTTACTATTTACATTTTAATAGCAAACATTCTTGATAAAACTCTGTTTGGATGTGGATTTTACTTCCAGTCTGCTGAGGATAAACCCATAAAATGGACTGAGAAGCAGAAGATTTTGTACACTGCTCCAACTCCTCCTGGCACAAAGAAAGGTGAGTTAGCTCCTGTCACTTCTGTTGGATATTTTTCACCACCAGCTACACATTGTGTATCTATGTAGACTTAGAAACGTTTTTTTTTGCTTATTCACAGACACCAGCCTGCCATTTCCAACCTCATACAGTCCAGAGTATGTGGAGTCCAGCTGGTATCAGTGGTGGGAGAAAGAAGGATTCTTCAGTCCAGAGCAACATGTCAGGAACTATACACCCGAATGCTGATGTTATAAATATAAAAATAAATGAATTAATTTTATACATGAAGTTTATAAATGACAAATCACTCAACATGATATGTGACTGTAAAAATGGATGACTAGTTTGATCTCAATGTGTGAAACAGAAACGGTTTCCACTCACATCTCATCTGCTTTCAACTAATATATTGTCTTGTCCTTACAGGAGAGATTGCCTCACGCTGTGGATCGGACCTTCTCTCTGTGTATCCCTCCACCAAACGTGACCGGTACTCTGCACCTGGGCCATGCTCTGACTGTAGCTGTAGAAGACGCTCTTGTTCGATGGTAACTGAGAACTACATCTGCAGCATGTTGTGTGAAACTGTAAATCTGTTGTCACTAATTCAGAAGTGAGTTACATTGGGAGTGCTGTCTGTGGACAGAGCAATAATATATCAATTTGTAATCCACCAGGAGAAGGATGCAGGGCTACAGAGTGCTTTGGGTTCCAGGATGTGACCATGCAGGTATTGCAACACAGGTATGACAACTTAAATTTAAATTTAAAGGATAGGTTCATATTTTCTCAAGTCTCCTGTTCCTCCAAAGTTCGTCAGTCAGATGAGAATCCACAATATGAAGCATCCGCACTCTGAATTTAGATAAAGTGATCTTTAAAGGTTGCAGTCTTTACAGGACAAATCTCCCGTTTTGTTCACTTTATTAGTTATGTGATGTTAAGGAGTCACAGTGTGTGTAAGCACAAAATGGGAATACACACAAAAGAGAATGTAACCCTGATTTGACTCACTTATGCAGCACTCACACATCAGCGTTGTATTAATGCTTGATCGTGTGCGTGCATGACAAACTGTGCTGGTGCAGTCTTCATAACAACATTAAATCACATTTTCGTGCTCAGGACACAACATATCCGGTTTTTGGAGAAAAAAAAATAGAGCATTGTGTTTCTTTGTTGACCTTGTAGCGAGGTTAGCTTGGTTCCCAGCTGCCTCTGCCTCCTCTCTCCAGCAGGAGCTGTATTTTCTTAAATGTGATTTGATTGGCTGTTGCCTGTGCTGGCAAAGCAAAGCAAAGCTGTGGATCACAATGCAATATCAGCAATGCATAACTTCATCCTATTCGAAGTGAATGAGCAGTGTGTCCGTGGTCAGCTTACTCTGGAATGCATAGTATGAAGACTGTAGATTATTTCTTTTTTTCAAATGTATTTTTTGGGCTTTTTATTATTTTTATTTGGAGAGGACAGAGAGCAAGCTGTGAAGGGAGGCAGACAGAGAGTGGGGGAAGACATGCAGCACAGGGCCGCCAGTCAGAATTGAATCCGGGCCACTACGTGTGAGGCTTAGCCTTGATGGTGCGGCAGCTCCACCAGGTGAGATATAGCCGCCCCGAAGACTGGATTTTCTCCAACATCACTTGCAATTGAAAAGCATCAGGAGAGCTTTTCACTGCAGGAATGATTATAGAAATCGATAACAAAATCAACGTTTGTTACTAATCTAATAGAAAATATTCGAATATAATAGACTTCATTACCCGTCCCTGAAGCAACAAATCATCATATCTGCTACAGGTTCTTGAGAAAACCTTAAGTCTTTGAGAAGGGATTGTACTACATTTGACTGAGCCTCTATATGGTGAGTGCTGCAGTGAGGTCTCCATCTCATGCAGTCATTTCCTTTGTGATAGACTGTGGTGGAGAGAAGACTGCTGAGGGAAGAGGGGAAGCATAGACGTGACTTCACCAGGGAGGAGTTTCTACAAGAGGTGTGGAAGTGGAAGAATGAGTAAGTCTCCACATTCACTTCATCACTTTGTTTCTGCTATTTGGTCAGCACATAGTTTGTTGCATTGAGTTTATCATGTCTCAGCAAAGGAGAAGAGATCTATGAGCAGCTGAGGAGCCTCGGTGCTTCTCTGGACTGGAGCAGAGCCTGTTTCACGATGGATCCAGTAAGACAGAGTGCACCCACATCACAAACATTTTCTACCATGTGGCGCATGAAATGAGTAAGAAGATCAACACAGGTTCTTTAAGATGTGTTATTTTTATTAGAGGGTAATTATATGGCTTAGTATATCGAAGTGTCACATTGGCAATGAGTACTGATTAATAAACATTCATAAAAATGTTACTCAAAGCTGCTCATTAGGTCCGTTTTAACTGTTCATTTCATTTTGTTCCAGGGTTTCAGCCGGGCTGTGACTGAGGCCTTCGTCAGGCTGTGTGACTTGGGTCTGATTTATCGTGCAGAGGGTTTGGTCAACTGGAGCTGTGCACTGGAATCTGCCATCTCTGACATAGAGGTGAAACAGCTTCACTATATATAAATATATATATATACACATACAAACCAGCTGCTCTACCACATGAGCCCAAGCTTATTTTACACTGATCAAGAAAAACAACATTTAAACAAATAATAAATCTAAAATAACTACTGTCCTCAAAGAATCAGTATTAAGCCCCATCCAGTCAATATGTACTAGATGGCCATGGTTACTGTCTGTTTTTTAAGTCAGTGTAAAAAGAGCATTTCAGCATTTGTGAATACTTTCACCATAAGAAAAGTTAAGGAAGGGATTTAAAAGAAGATACACTGTCTCAGTTCACAGGGCAGAGAGTTCAATAATTTGGGCTCTCGAATAACATTCAGTCACCAGCTGTGTGCTCCTTCCATGGATCTTAGTGGTAGAGGACACACACCAGGCCAATATATCTAAAAGATATTTGCGTGCAAGGCCATTTATGGCCTAAATAGTTAACATTTTTAAATAAATATGAAATTTATCAGGGATCCAGTGTAAGGAGAAGAGCACAGGGTATACAAGATCATGCAAGCAGAGTTTTGAGTTGAATATGACCCCAAGGTTTCCTGCAGTCTACTTAATATTATTTGATGGATCAGAAAGATTAGCAGCAAGAAAGCTGGTCGCACTGTCATTGAATTTAAGAAAGGTGTGGGACAATCTGGATTTAATAACAGAGAGGCAGCTTGTGGTATGTGTTAGGCTGCAAGGATCTGTGGGTTCTAACTGCTGAAGAAAACTGGTAAATGCTGCTGAGTGAACTCCAAGAATCTAGTGTCAAGATTGTTTTCGGGTCAAACTGCTACTGCTTTTGACACTTGAGTGATGTCCTTCATTTTGAAAGAACTTTCTCACATTGCCAAGATAAGTAAAGGGAGTATTTTCAGTCCTATTAAATCTTTGATCTATGATTCCTCGAAGATATATGGATGAGCTTGACAAATATGGACATCAAAGAGTGTCGACCTGTTGCCTTCATGTGAAAATCACAAGCAACCTTCAACCGATTATGTGTATTTCCATCTATTAACGAAAATGTAATGCCCTGTGATTCTCTTGTTGACACAGCTTTTTACCTA